TCTTATTTTATGATTATAATCAAGGGGCAAAATGCTATAGCTGATAGTCTCACTTCATGTGCTAATATATCTTACTTCAAAAAATATTTTATTTATAAAAAAGAGACGACAAAAATAAACAAAATTTGGGAGAGATAAATCATCCACAACTATTAACTCAAAAAATATTATTTAAGGAATTCCTGTCTGCAATGTATTTTCTAGTATCTCTCCATTCTTAGTATTTATTAGTCATAGATATTTGCAACCCTCAGAGCAATGTCTGAAAAAGAGATATGCTCTGAACATAGAAGATAAATTTAGAAATAAATTACTGAAGCAAACGCAGTCTAAAACTAAAATATATCGTTGTATTATATTTTTCTCACTTGAAATGAAAATCTAAAAAGCCCTCACATCTTTATTTTGTATTTCAAGCTGTCATTATAAATATAATAAATAAAATTGCCCAAGCAAGGCAGCATTACAAGGCCAAGCACACGGTAACTTTTTTTTTTTAACATAATTCTGCTATTAATTCATCTGCAGGTTGACATTTCTTAAATAAAAAAATTAATTCTTACATTCCATTCCATTCCAATCTCCCAGATTTCCCAGAGTCTAAGAGAAAGGACTGATCCTTTTGGTTATTTCACTTTTTAATTTAAAATTAATGAATTAGGATTTTTAGGTCTTATTATAAATATTATGATTTATATATTCTAGTGCTGTGAGGAAGATTCTATGTTTTCAAACACAGAGAGAAAATGGGGTAATGATTAAAATACCGTTTTTTCAGTTTGTTAGTAAAAATCGGCTAGCAAGGTGTCAATGTAATGATTTCCCATTGATAATTACTATAAGGAAAAAAATTGCATTTAAAATACTTAGTTCTGGATTCTTAAGTCCAATGAAAGTTTATGAAGTGCCATACCTTGCATTTAAATTTTCCTTTAAATATTAATGATAAATAAAGAGATTTACACAGAACTGGGAACTACTCTTATTTTTATTTGCATTTTTTCTCCCATTCATTACTAACTTTCAACAAGAAAGCATTTTAGTTCCAAAGGAAGGTTGCCCTTGACAATTGAGTGTAATCATTGAGAACACTCATATAGGTCAATGGTATTTAGTTTTTCTTTTCTTTTTCTTTTTTTAACTTCAGGTTACCATTTTAAAATGTTCACACCTAAAATTAATGTACCATTCCAAGAAAAAGAATGAAAGTGGTATTTTTTTTCTATTCCATGGCTTAAGACATTTAATTCAATCAATTTATCCAATAATCTTCAAGATTGATTAGACTGTTTTTTTTTAATTCTAAAGCAAATTGTGAAAAACCACAATCCAGTATCATAAAATAAATAACAAAGTTATTTCATTTCTTTCAGAAAACACTATGACGGAAATATGTAGAAAAATTTACAATATAATACCAGAGTTAGATTGGGTAAGACATTTCGCTGGGTTTAATTTCCAGTTTATTGAATGTAACATTTGCTTGTCATTCTGCATAGACAAGCTATAGACAGACATAATTTGACAACAAAGGTTTTATAATATAGTCGCTATAAATAAAATATTTGTAAGTTTACAAGAATCTAATATAATTTAAAGGTTAGTAAAATCTACCTTGCCAAATCACTTTTTGATATAATTTTGATTTTTCATAAAATACATATTCATTAAATTAATTTGAAAAGAAAATATTTACATATTTATACTGTGTATTGTCTATATAAAGTTAGATTAATTAATCGATTTTGGTTATTTTAACTGAAAATGGGCAGTTTATACCTACTACTACATTGCTTGATGAGCAATCAAAGGTAATTGAAGCCAAGAAATTGACAGTATTTATAGACATTTCTCAGAATCACCTGCTTTGTATTGATTGTTTTAAGTACAGTTGTAAAGTTTTGATTTTAAGACTCCCTTTGAAGACATGGCAGATGTTGGCTATGTTAATGATGCTGGAAAGCTTAACAGGTTCAAAGTTACAAAAATGTTCAACACATATAAAAAATAACGGTGCGTTTTTCTAGTAAATTTAGCTATTTTCAATTGTCAATAAACTATAAAGGAAGCCTAAAGTCCATAAATACTTGCTTCTAAGCCACTAAGCTTCTTGAGTTTGTATATGTGCATGTGTCCATGTGTGTTTGTGGAGGAGAAATGCGTATAAATATATGCTGGCAAATGATACGTGTTATAGTCTTAGCATTATTACTAGTGTTAAAAATGTAAGGTTTATACATATTTGAGCTGTTTTTCAATATATTCTGGTACTCAAAATTCAGTTTGAGTATAACATAGTCATGGAACCATACACATACAGTCTGGGTGTTAGACACGGATATACAGAATTTTGGTTCTGACTTTGCCCTGGATTTATGTACATTTACTCTCAAAATGCAGTAATTATAAACTGCCTAACCAAATACAAATGGTCTTACTATGCATGACGTGATTTTAATCTAATATAATTTTAAAATTACAAGAGTTCAGAAATCACTTCAATTTTATTTTTTAAGAAATACTGAAATATTAAAATGTGCTACGAGCAAGGAGAGAGAAATGTATTAATAATATATGCAAATTATAATCATTTTCAAAGTTGCTAGATCAAGATGTTCTTATAGCACTATAAAATAAAACAACTTTGAACATAAATTATGTAAGACCAAATGCAATCATTACATGAGAAAGATGTCTAATTTAAATCTATCTAAAGATCTAACAAATATTAATCACATTGAACGCTGAAATTGGCTATTTAAATTTTATTTTCAACAAGTATACAGAGTCAATCAAAAACTATAGTGATATTCCTTTTAGTTAGTCAACGTATTTTCAAAATATCTCAACAAAGGAAAGAAAAACTCATTTAAGTCCCCAGTGATTTTTATCCTTGCTGATGACTAATTGTATTTGCCACTCAAGTTGTAATCTATTAATACTTTATGCAGCTGACACAAACATTTGTTTTTGTTTTCCTAGCAGTCTCATTATTTGATTCAACATGTAGAACTTTATTTTGTTAAATGGTTATTTCCCACTAAAGGGGGAAGGGAGATAAATATTGATGAATTATTCCATTAAAAAAAAAACCTTTTGTTAAAATAACTTAAGGGAATCAATCCTTGAATCCCACTGTCTCTGTTTCTCCCAAACAAAATAACACATACCAGTATAAAAATTCAGCATGCCCTAAGAAACTTAAGGGCTTCCGTTCGGTTCAGGAAGCATAAGGGACAATCTATCACATAGGTTCCTCATTGCAGAAAGTAAAAGGAACGGCACGAGCTTCTGATAATTGCAGGAGTACTCTGATCAATCTGAAATGGGCTCTAATTCCAAAAGTGACACTGATATCAAATGCTCAGGTTATGAAAAGTTCCCTGCATTCTAATTTTTTTTCCTAATAAAAATGGAAGCCTTCTTGCTACGATTAACTCTTCAACTCATTATCTTAAGAGAGTTTCATTTATAGTAAGTATAAAATACATTAAATATCGGTGATACTACTGGTAACTTACAAAAACTAATTTATGATGGAGCATTAAGAGTTCACCCCTGACCTTGAAAAGTAAAAGTTGGATTTGGAGACTGTGACAGAAAAACCTGTTCCATACTACCGCTGAACTCACTACACCATCGCTGCTAAGGAATATTAAAAGAGCGGCTCAATCATTGCCATTTGGGTGGCCTCTTAACCTAAAGCCTTGTAATGGATATAGGATTTTCCGATCCTTCAAACCAATATCTGGGTTTACCTTCTAGAACTATGAAACCAGTTCCGCAAAGGAATAAAAATATGCCAATACTGTATTAAACAAATGACACCTTCCAAAAAGATGGAACCCAGATTGCGCTATGCCTACGAAAGAAAGCTCACAGCTCTTCATTATGAAGCGTCTTTTGACAATTTCATAACACTACGGATAGGTAAGGGCTCTGAATAGTCGCCCAGAAGACTTTCTCTGGATTGCTAGCATTCACTCGACAAACTGTGCCTTCAAGCGCCGGAGTTCAAGGAAGGTCCCCCTTTTGCCAGGCTGCTCAAGTTTTATCTCCACTAAGATCAGGCCGCCTGCGCGCTCTCCTACATCACCTTCAGGCACCGAGGAGCTAACCCCAGCTACTGTTTGCTTCCCAGTACTTGTCTCGGTGGGCACCTAGTTGGGAGAGGCATTTAAGGACCCAGTTGGGAGAGTCTTTTAAGGACCCAGTTGGAAAAGGATTTTATTTTTTCTCTTTTGAAACCCAAATTCTCTATTGAGATTAGCACCACATGCATACGAACTCTATGAAGATTCGCCTTTCTTCCGGAGTTGGAGCACTTATTTATAATTCTCTGACACATGCCTTAACATCTTCTGAATTCCTAGATAATGTCTTCTTCCCCAAGAAAGGAAAAATTTTACCATTTGGAATAGGGTTGCTATTTAAAGAACTCTGAAATCAGAACGAAGAAAAAAAAAACTAAAACTTTTTTTTCTCATGCGCTCTGCCAAGTTCCATTGCAAGTTCCAAATATTGTGCAATAATTTGGAAATCCAGTTAACGATGGGAAAAATCGAGCCACTCCGAGTAGGAAACTTGCAAGGGATAAGTCAAGGAGCGGCACCCGCACGCACGCCTGCCCGGCGGACGCTGCACCCCAGGGCGCGCGTCCCTCCCTCCCCAGCGCTCCCAGGGAAGGCCACGCTTCGCAATCGATTTCACACACTGTCACTCGTCCTTTCTTCTCAGCCTTCTGGTAAACTAGTTTGGGACCTTGGAGAGCTTAGCGCTGCTGACTTTGCATGTGTTGTGCTCAGATAAACTCGTGCCCCCAAGTAACAGGACCAAAAAAATGCTGCACCGCCGAGGTTGGTCGCGGGGAGCCACAGGGGGTGAGGCGCTCCCCATCTTCCCCGCCGCCTCCCCGCGGCGCCAGGATCTCCCCTGGCATCTCTTCGCCCCCTTTCCAGCTTCGCGCGCACTCCGGCCCGGGCTGCCCAGTGCGCCCTTACCTGAGCTGTCACTTTTCCTCTTGCCTCCGCTCCTCTTCTCCGCCTCCGCGGGTGACAGCGCCTGGCGGCCGTAGTCCCCCGGCGCGCACGCGGCCCCGGTTGGGGTGCTGGAGCCCAAGCTGGAAGAGTTGGAACACAGGACAGGCGGGCTGCTCCCCAGCTCCGGGGGCCCTCCGGAGTCGGGCTGGAGGCAGAGGCTGTGCCGAGCCGCGCTCGGCGGGGAGGACATCTGCGGGAGGTGCCAGTTGGTCTGCAGAGCCTGGTGCTGCTGCTGTTGATGGTGGTGGTGGTGGTGATGGTGGTGGTGGTGGTGCCCCCTGTGATGCTGGCTGGCAAACATGCCCTCCTCGTTGGGGTATCCCGCGATTATGCAAGACGAGGAAGAAGTCGAGAGCTCGGGGTAGGACATGTGGTCGGATCTTCCATGGAGGGCGAGGGAGGACTGGGAGAACGGGTGCAAGCCTTGCGCGGTGGCATGAGGGCTGCGCAGGCAGCCAAAGAGCGGGTGTTCCATAGCATCCAAGTCTCGGGTTCCAGGCAGAAGACTTCGCGACGGTCCCAGACGCCACCACCCTCTGTTCTTTTTCAGTGGCAGCCGTGTGGCTTGTCCCCCCTCCCAGAGCAATCGCCGGGCGCGCCCCTGCAGAGCTCGGATAATCCGGGTCCTGAGCCCTAGCAGCCAGTCTCCTTCCCAGACCAGCGGTCGGACCTGGAGGAGATTCCTTGAGCTACTCAGATGTCAAGAGTGGGAGAGGTTGAAGCCAAAAGAAGGTGGTCCCAGAGAACTGCTTTCAGGGGGAAATGGCTCTGGGAGGTTATAAATAGAGTGTAATGTGAGCTGGGGGCTGGCTTAGGAGCCCAGCGCTGACCACATGCAAACTCCCTCCAAAACTCCCGCTCAGTGTGCGCCACGCGCTCCCGGATCCACTTCCTATCGCCGGCTGGATGGAAGCCGCTGGTCCACGCCCGCCCCACCCTGCCAGCTCCTGGAGCTGCGAGCGGCGCGCCCAGCGCCTGCATCCCGCCCAGCCCGGCCGCGGCTCCTCTGCAGTCCAGGCCAGCGAGGCCCCGCACCCACTTTCCGACCCGCTCACTTTTCCCTCTGGGAAACGTGACTTGTCAGTGCTATCTGGGGACAGTCACCTGCAGGAAAGCTAGGGGTGCGCCTATCCCTTGAGGAGCACAGAGAAAGTAATGAGGTTAAGGGCAAAGATCAGAACTAGTTTGTTCCACGCTCGGGTTTTGCAAACTTCGCATCTCCTCGCGTCCTGGGCGCCTCCTCAGAACGCCTGGGTTTTCACGGCTGGTGTCTGTAGGAGGGTTGTTGGGGGCTTGGGCGGCAGGTCCCAGGCTGCAGAGATGTGTCCCGCGGCCTGGAAAGGGCGGGGGGATCCTGGTGCGGTGCGTGAAAGGGGAGAGCAATGCGGAGACAGTTACGGATGCTCGCGCCTGGCATCTTCACGTGCGGTGCCAGCTAGAGACTCCCGCCCCTCTTTCCCGGTCCCGCTCAATTTCCTAGCCACTTGTCCCCCCAGCAGAAGTTTTCCTGGGTCAGGAATATCCCAAAGCGATTTCGTCCGGGTCACTTGAGAAACGTAGCATGTGTAGCTCAAGATGGGATGTGTAGAATGCACGCATTTTTCTAGCCTTTCCCCTCCGGAGCCAGCCCAGGTACCCTCATTTCCCTCTAGAAATCCACTCTATGTTCCGTCCAAAAATAAATCAGTTAATTGCACCCCTTCCCATCACCACAGTTCCATTCACGGAGAACGTCTACATTTCGATAAACCCCAAAGCTCGCTAAGCTTGGCGCTTCTCATCTCCCTGGTTACAAAATTGTGCATCCCTAAAACGGAGTTAGAAAACTCGCCACCCGTGAATATGCGACAGCGAGGGCTGGGCTTTGACACTGCCCCTTGCTTGGGGGACGACACGATCTGCTGGGGTAGAGTCGTTTACACACCACAAGCCAGTAGCGCGTCCAAAGCAGGAGGAACGGCCAGGTCCCGTCTGGGGACGTGTGGCATCAGGAGAAAATCTGCAGTCACCTATTCCGCCCGGGGCCCCAAATGCGCCACCAGCAGTGTCGCCCAGTTATTTTCATTGTCTCAGGTGTCCAGAGAATGGTGGCCGGATCTTTGAAGTTGTTCTGGGATTAATGGGTACAGCAAAGTGAGCTTAGACATCTGGTTTGAATTAGGAAAAAGTATTGATTAATCGCGGAGAGGTGTCCCCAAGACAGACCCTTTCGCCTCGTTCACTTCCTCCTGTTTAAGCCCAACTGTCTCCCGTCTTTTAAGCCTCGGTACGGGAGAGAGCCTTCGCGATCACATCCGTGTGAAAGATAAAATTGTTTTCCATTGCTAAGAGGTGGGGTGGAGTGGAGTGGGGGTTGATCAGGAATTCTGAGATTTGTAAGCGCTGCTTTCTTTAACGGAAATTGAGTCCTATTTTGAGGGAAATTAGTTTTGCAGACTTCGTTTAAAAAAAAAAAAACTAAAACTTTTGTTCACCAGCTGCTCAGCTTTTCAGTCTGGGTCTGAGCTGGAACCTGCTGCAGTCTGACGGTAAGACTTTCTTTGCTGATGTTATGAAAACCGAATATTGTTTTAGACTTAGAATGGGGGGTGATTCTCCAGGTTGCACGTTTCTAAGGGTTTTAAGCGCTTGCAGGATGGTGTCCAGGACTTAGATCTTAAGAATATTTCTTCCGGCCACACCCCACGCCCTTGGCTCTTTAAGAATAAAGGGGGGGGGGGGAAGTATAGTCCTCCAATATTGACAGAATATTTTTTGAATTTTCATTGTGTTTATGGTTTCAATATGTGCTCTGATATTAAAAGTTGAAGTACAAAGAGCCACACTAAACTTCTCCAATTCGTGTAGCTCCTCTGGATTCTGGGGGAAAGCATTAAAGGTTTTATTTAAAGGGAAATTTAGGCAACCATCTCAATAAACCTAACCAGAAATGTTCACCAAATATAAAGCTGTAGAGAAGGTGGGACAAGACTGCCTAAAAGTACACTTGATCCGAAGACATCCATAGAAAACATCCATGATGGTCCTTTTGGTTTGCATTTCATTGGTGTAGAAAAAGCTAAGCAATTATTACTAAATGAGTGGATGTGAATTTCAGTGTGCTGCAGGTAACCAGCAACTGGCAAACACAAACATTTCATCTGTCCTCACTGCCACTTCTTTCTGAACCTGTAGACTGCCTGTACTGGCTTTTTTCTCACTCACTGTGTCAGATGTTAACGACATGTCCAGAAGTTTCCCTACAACCTGCCTCTGTCAGTCAGCCTCTTGAAGGAACTATGGGGTCAGAAATCTAGGCAGGAAAAATTAGAAAAGGTTAGAAAGGAAGGATGTCTCTTCCATAGGCATGCAATTAAAACAAAGCTAACAAGAAATGTCTTTTTAAATTGAAGACACAAAGCATTTAATGTCAGTAAAAATTATGAAGTCCAGATTTCTAATAGAAAGGATAATATAAGGAAAATGAATTTAGAAGGGGGAAAAAAGTGTGATTCAATGAAGGAGTAAGAAGGAGATTTTTCTTGCATTCTATAATTAAATATAACTTTTTACTTTCCTCTGAATTTCTAAATATACACTCATTAACACATAAAAGTTTTTTAAACTTTTACTTACTAGAATACTTGGAATAAGATAGAATATTGATTTTTATTTCTTAGGCCATTGAGAAATTTTTAAATGTAATAAGGGGAAAAATATCCCTAGCATGTCTTATAATAGTTGCTTCAGTGTTCATATCCATAAAATACAGTGTTGAAAGATGTATTATTACCTTATTATACCAAGAAGAATAGCAAAAATTATAAAATTTCTATATAACAGTCATTTAAAACTATTCATGGTATAGTTTTTATCCTATATTTGCAATATACTTGAGTTTTTCAAGAAAATATTGTATTAGTGCCAATATTTCATGCATGGTTTTAACATCAAGTAGTGTATTATAAAGAGTTTGTGAAAAATGTTAGCTATTCAGCTCTTGTAGGGATCATAATCATAATTATTTTAAACATATGCTAGGTTCTTTAAACTTGATTAATGTTAATGTATTGTTTCCTCTACTTAAATGAAATGACATTCAATAGTTAAGGCAGAATTTTTTAAAATTAGTACTATTTTATTTTAAAAGAATACAATTCATATTAACAATCAAATACTTATATTTGAATTTTGCTTTAGGACTCATAATGATTCTTTTAAAAGTTGCCATTCTTCTGCACATTTGTGATATGAGGTATGATGAAACATAAAATTTTAAAAATTAAATATGATAAAACTCTCCTTTAAATTTTACCTGATAGATAAATTTGCCTTAGTAACATTTAGTCATGACATATGTGTGAATAAATTAAAACTAAAATTTGTCACTGAAATTTGACTGACAATAGAAATATTATTTCTGCTATATTTCACCAAAAATAGTAGCTATGTACTTCAATTGGTTCTTCTTAAATAAAGAATTTTGAAGATATATTCAAATATGCTAAATACCCAATGGTAACTTAAGAGATTTACGATGTACTTCATTTTATAAAACTAAGGAATTACCTTTCTCCAAGAGTTCCCCATTATAAAATTTAAGGAGCAATGCTTGTTAGTAAATCTGCATACTTGTACAGATTTTTTAAATGTTGTTATTTTTATATAACGCTAATTGGTGCTTTCACAATAAAACTTGTTACATTTCTACATGCACTAAAGGAAGTAAATACTTAAAATACTACCTCTGAATGGTAAGACAATATCCAACATACTTTGTTTTTCTAGTTTCTATGTCTTCCTGCATTTAGATATATGATTCTTTCAGAAATGAGTGGTTTTCCTCAAATCAAGTATCTCATAATAAATGACACTGTATAAATACTTAGTATAACTCTGCCTAAGGCAACGACACAGACAAAATATTGTATATAAAAATTAGAACTACTTAACAGATAATATTCAGAAAGCCAGCATGAAATATAGATTATTACTGATGCAATTAAACTTAAATTTTTGATTGAATCAAAATTCAAAATATATGCGCTCTTTTATACTGCCAATTTATTTTCCCATACATTTATGCATTTTACAAAATTCTAACGATTTTCTTTTTCATTTTCTTTTTTTTTTTTTAATTTTGCAAGGAGGGTTAAAACTGGGAAAACATTAACTACTCCTTAATTCCCACAACTTGTAACTGGACTTCCTTCTGTCCACCTGTTTTAAATCCAGAATTGTTAGATTGTTTCCTTGTAATGATCAACTAGAAAATAATTAATTCCTACATTTCACTTGTATTCACTTTGTATGTTAATTATATTGGTAACTGCAGGCATTTTCACAATGGTATAGTTGAAAATTGTCTCCTTTCCATATTTAACAGGGAGATACACAAGCTAATGCAAGGAAGTTCTAGAAATGCTATAGGTTACATTTTCTGTAGCATCAAACTCATAAGCATTAAATTTCTATCCACAATTTAAGGGAATTTAATCATTTATTTCTCCCATGTCATAAAAAGCAATGATATCCTTTTATATGGATTGAATTTGAACTAGTTAATAAATCTCAAAGAACAAAAATTCAATCGAAACTACAGATGGGATTGTAAGTAAAACCTTAGTCTTCTGTTTTAAGTTTTTGGACTTGAAGCGTTTAACATAACCAATGTCATTTTGGCACTATGATAAGTTTTTCTTTTCTGTTTTTATTTTTCATACTGCATCAATTTGTATCCCATTTTATTCTTAAAATGACTTTTCCATTTTGGGC